ACCTAAGGTAAGCCGCTTTACTATCATTGACAGCTGTCGCACACCTGTTATTCCACCAAGGTACTGCAATATGTTTGTGCCTCTTTGAAGTATTTGCACCGCTATTTGATAAGTTCCTACGTGGAACGGAACGTTCCACAGCTGTCAAAATAATTTTACAGAACCTATTGTAATTGTTTAAGGGTTCATTGACATCATACTCGAAATCCAAAAGTAATCGATTAACAGTTTCAGAATAAAGATCCCAATTAACGAGACGTAGGTTTATACGATTTAACAAAAGTTTATTAACTTCATCTATAGGAGCATGTTGTTCACCTGACGGAGTTGATGAAGAGTTCTTTGTGTTTATTTTAGTAAAAGTCGGCAGGTGATAACTTCCTAACGGATCATCATGAACCGACCACTCGCATTTTAATGATATGGATGGGGATACCATAGTTAAATCAAGGCCATTGGGTCTCCAAATATGAGAGCCAACAGTAGTAACTTGCTTATCATTTAATAGTACCAAATTACATTCATCTAAACAATCAAGAATGTCTTTACCTCTTGTATTAGTGGAGGTACAACCCCACATAGTATGATGTGCATTTAAATCTCCAGATATGATAGTGGGTTTAGGAAGAGACTCCAAAAAGAACTTAAATTTGGCTTTAGTAAAACTAGGTGTACTATTGGTAGGACAGTAAATACTGGCAACTGAATACCAAGAATTATTAACTTCAATACTAATAGCTATAGTTTGCAAAGAATTGTCGAAAAAAGAGTGAAGTTTTTTATATCTAATACTATTATGTATAATAATCGCTACTCCATTGTGGTTATTACCACAATCATTTCGTTCTATACAATAATCTTTAATTTTTAATTTGTAATGTGGTTTTAGCCAAGTTTCTGAGATGAGAGCAATGTGAATATGATGTTCATTTAAAAATTGTGTAAAAATATGTCGATTGCTCAGTAGGCTCTGAGCGTTCCACTGTATGATAGTTAATTGGTCTCGATTGAATTTTGTGAAATAGGTCTATTACCAAAAGTATCATATAACACATTCAAAACACTTTTAGTGTTAATAGATGTGTTCTTTGTGTTATGTAGTGAAATAAGTTTGATTATGCTTTCTATTAAAAGTGATAAACTCTTGTTATCAGAATTTAGAATTGAAATTAGGTCTACATTTTTTTTAGGTTTGTTACCCAGTTTAGGAAATATTTCAGTGCTAAGTATATCTCCAAAAGAAGCAGGTCTGAATTTAGATCTATTTTCAGCAATTTTCTTTTGTTTAACAGGGCATTGCGGTGATACACTTGTGTGATTTCCATTGCAGTGTACACAAATAGCGTTTTCCATTCCAGTTGTACAAATTTTATAATTATGCTCACCTTTGCAGATGCTGCAACGCTCAGAATTCTTACAGAATTTAGCTAAATGTCCATACCTCAAGCACCGGTAGCATTGTTTAACTGGTGGTATATATGGAGTGACATTGTGGCGCCAACCTCCAATATCCAGATATTCAGGTAATACAGATGCAGCAAAAGTAATTGTCACGGTTAGAGTTGGCTGTAACACATATCCATGAGTCAAGGTATTTTTTCTTAAAATTCTTTTAATAGCAATAATTTTCTTAGAACTCGATATCATAGTATATATTTTTTTATTAGATATATTTGTAGGTACATTTCTAATAACGCCTGTAACTTCTGTTGAAGAAGCAGGAATACTGGCCTTAAAATGGTAGTCATTTAAAAAAGTTTTATTATTTAAAAAAGCATTGGCTAAGTCTGGCTTTTGAAAGTATACTCCGATTTTGAATTTATTTATAGATCTAAGATAAGTTACCCCTTTATTAAATCGTTTTAAACAGGAGGAGAGTGAGAGCAAGTCTCTGGATCCAATGGTTTTCTGACTATCTGAGGATTCTACAAAGACAACAAATTCTGTCCCAGGGGATTCCTCGGGATATCTTCTAATATAATCTGTGACGTAGTAAGGTTTATACTTATCGGCCTTATCAATTTCAGATTCTGAGTCAGTAGAAGTATCTTCCGAATATATATCCTTGTCATTACAAGGTTCATGGTCTACATCACCTGAATCGTCATCTTTTTTTTTCCTTTTTCTACAACTGCGCTTCCCCATGAATGCTAATTATATTACTGTCGCTGAATTTAGTGAAAATATAATATTTTATTCAATAATAAGAATTGATAGAGATAGTTTTAATAAATTAATAAAAAAAATTTAAAAAACCCGCTTGTTCTTATTCGAGTTTCCCGCCTTTTTCTCAACAAATTATTTTTAAATAAAGAATCTTTACTTTTTTTTTTTTTTTAGTACGTTTGTTCCGTTTGGAACAGGCTAAGGTCGGAGACCATGCTGCCTAGTCTTCAAAAAGATAAATTGTCTGGAATTTTATTTTTCTAATGTCGCTTCAATTATTGTCATAATCTTCAATATTTCATTTGTCAAATCCGGTAAGTACATTTTCATAAATATCTTTTCTTGAGTTTTCTTAAACCAGTGGATTTATCAAATTAAAAATAAATAATTATAAAAAATCATTGTCTTGCAATTCAATAAAAGTATTCTTATAGCTCCTTGAATGTTGTAGTAATATAAGTGAAAATAGCTTTGAAACAAGAAGGAAATCTTAAGAGAAGCGGGATTGAGTGCGGGATATTTTCGGGTTTTTTGAAGATAATCCTAAGTTCGTCAAACATAATGTGTCTTTGAATGACAAATTCAGAGCAATCAAAAAAAAGGTGATGTAGAGATTGGGCTGTATTTGAGTTACACCATGTGCATGATGGGGAAGCAATCATGCCCATTCGGTGCAGGTGTTCGTTGAAATGTCCGTGGCCGATTCGTAATCTACAAATATTGGTGTAAAATTTTCTGTTTGTGTCCTTTCCTTTGCAGAACCACGGTTTTCCAATACGCCAATTAATTTTGCGGTACCATTTGCCTTTAGTCTGTAATATTTGAGTCCAATGCTCCTCCCATTTAGTTGTAACGATTTTATGTATTCCAATACTACAATCTGAGTAACAAAGGGGTAAATCTTGAACACGAGCAGCACTTGAATTAATAATTTTAGCCAAAGTGTCTACTTGTTCATTCCCAAACACTCCAATATGTGAAGGGGTCCAGATGAAGATAATATCTTTTCCATATATAGTACAGAGATGATAATATTTATTACGAATTTCTTGAATTAAGTAGTTTGATGATGAAATGATTGTGTTATTTTTTAATGCCATAAGAACACTCATACTATCTGTAATTATAATCCATTTCGAATATAGTACCTGTTTTTCTATGTATTCTAATGCTAAAAATATAGCTTTTGCTTCTGCTGTGTAAATACTAGCCAAAGTTGAAATTTTATAACCGTGACCAAATCTATTTGACAAATCGTAAAAAGCCACTGAAGTGCTAAGTGCATTTTTGGAACCATCTGTATATATCTGCCTGTAGTCAATAAATTCTGATAAAGTCTCATACATATCGTGCTTTTCTTTTATGTCTTTATGTATAACAATTTTGATCTTACAGAACTTACTCTCATAAAGGCCATTATAACAAGGAAGTATCTTACTACTATAGATGTTATATTCATCTCGTAAATTCAAATCATTGATAATAGTTTTATTCAAAAACATAGAAATGGGGCAATTTAATAATTTGAGTATGAGTGGGTTATTGGAAACTGAAAAAACTTTGAAGAGAAATTTGAGTTTTAGGTATTCGAAACGAAGAAGGATAGGAGGCAAATTACATTCTACTTGCATTGAGATAATTGGAGAAGTATACATAGCACCTAAAATAAGTCTTAAATTCATATTTTGAATTTTTTCGAGTTTTTCTACTAATTTATGTTCTGAGGCATAACAAAAGAAAGCGTAATCAAAATTACTTCTAACAAGAGATTTGTAAAGTAAAAGGATAATTTTAGGATCAGCTCCCCAGTTACGACCAATTACAGATCTTATTATATTAGTGGCTCTTAAAGCACGATCTACTAAGCAATCAACGTATAGATCCCATTTTAAATTTTGATGAAAAATTACCCCCAGAAATTTAACGCTACAGTCTGTTGGAAGAGTTTGATTATTATATATAATATTCATTAATGGAACATATTTATGAACTTGATGAAAAACAACTACTTTACTTTTGGTTAAACTAATATCGAGGGAAAGAAGAGAAAAATATTTCTCAAGTCTTTTTAATGACTCATTTAACACTAATTGCATATCAATAATATTCTTTCCTTTTATATAAATTAATAAATCATCGGCAAATTGCAAGTTGTTCACACTGTTTCCTAAAACTAAATTAAGTTTATAGATATATAAAATATATAGTAGCGGGCTTAAAATACCACCTTGACATACTCCTTTAGAGCTTAACCTAGGTCCTATTAATTTACTATTTACTTTAACATACACTTCTCTATTACTAAGAAAATTATAAATCCATTCGATAAGTTTCATTGGAAGAAATGAGGATAGAATCGAAGATAGAACTGTTAAATTTACATTGTTAAAAGCTCCTACGACATCTAAAAAAACAGATAGAACATATTCATCGTTATTCAAAGCAGTACTAAGGTCGACATAGAAGTTCGCTAAACTTTCGCGCGCTGAATATCCACGGCGAAAACCAAATTGATTCGATGGTAATATACTATTACTTTCAATAAAGAACTCTAAACGCTGTTTAATTAATTGTTCGAATAATTTGCCTGCACAGGACGTCAATGTTATAGGTCTATAGGAGTCGAAATTTGTAGGATCTTTACCGGGTTTAATTACTGGAATCAAACAATCCATTTTCCATTCTGGTGGGATAATACAGTCCTTCCATAAATCGTTAAAAATTTGTAAGAGTTTAGTAAGGTTTATTTTATTCAGCAATCGAAACATATTGTATGTTAAGCGATCAAGGCCACTAGCTGTATCTTTTCTAGATTTTACTGCACTGGATATTTCATCAATTGAGAATGGGTCAGTGAGAAATTTTGGGCATGAATTAACAGAATTAAACTGTTTGTCATCAAAAGGTGAGTGTACAAAATCAGGAGTATATTTGCGTAAAAAATCATTGACCCATGATATATCTTTAAAATGATTTTGACGATGTTTTGAATTTAGTTTTCTCATATTTTGCCAAACAGTGGAAATTGGTGTTAATCTATTAAATTTGGAACAAAATTCCTGCCACCCCTGTTGTCTTACTTGCTTAATTACTAACTTTTTAACAGCTTGAACTCTTTTAAAATTTATGTAATTATCGAGAGTTGGATTTTGTTTAAACCTAAGGTAAGCCGCTTTACTATCATTGACAGCTGTCGCACACCTGTTATTCCACCAAGGTACTGCAATATGTTTGTGCCTCTTTGAAGTATTTGCACCGCTATTTGATAAGTTCCTACGTGGAACGGAACGTTCCACAGCTGTCAAAATAATTTTACAGAACCTATTGTAATTGTTTAAGGGTTCATTGACATCATACTCGAAATCCAAAAGTAATCGATTAACAGTTTCAGAATAAAGATCCCAATTAACGAGACGTAGGTTTATACGATTTAACAAAAGTTTATTAACTTCATCTATAGGAGCATGTTGTTCACCTGACGGAGTTGATGAAGAGTTCTTTGTGTTTATTTTAGTAAAAGTCGGCAGGTGATAACTTCCTAACGGATCATCATGAACCGACCACTCGCATTTTAATGATATGGATGGGGATACCATAGTTAAATCAAGGCCATTGGGTCTCCAAATATGAGAGCCAACAGTAGTAACTTGCTTATCATTTAATAGTACCAAATTACATTCATCTAAACAATCAAGAATGTCTTTACCTCTTGTATTAGTGGAGGTACAACCCCACATAGTATGATGTGCATTTAAATCTCCAGATATGATAGTGGGTTTAGGAAGAGACTCCAAAAAGAACTTAAATTTGGCTTTAGTAAAACTAGGTGTACTATTGGTAGGACAGTAAATACTGGCAACTGAATACCAAGAATTATTAACTTCAATACTAATAGCTATAGTTTGCAAAGAATTGTCGAAAAAAGAGTGAAGTTTTTTATATCTAATACTATTATGTATAATAATCGCTACTCCATTGTGGTTATTACCACAATCATTTCGTTCTATACAATAATCTTTAATTTTTAATTTGTAATGTGGTTTTAGCCAAGTTTCTGAGATGAGAGCAATGTGAATATGATGTTCATTTAAAAATTGTGTAAAAATATGTCGATTGCTCAGTAGGCTCTGAGCGTTCCACTGTATGATAGTTAATTGGTCTCGATTGAATTTTGTGAAATAGGTCTATTACCAAAAGTATCATATAACACATTCAAAACACTTTTAGTGTTAATAGATGTGTTCTTTGTGTTATGTAGTGAAATAAGTTTGATTATGCTTTCTATTAAAAGTGATAAACTCTTGTTATCAGAATTTAGAATTGAAATTAGGTCTACATTTTTTTTAGGTTTGTTACCCAGTTTAGGAAATATTTCAGTGCTAAGTATATCTCCAAAAGAAGCAGGTCTGAATTTAGATCTATTTTCAGCAATTTTCTTTTGTTTAACAGGGCATTGCGGTGATACACTTGTGTGATTTCCATTGCAGTGTACACAAATAGCGTTTTCCATTCCAGTTGTACAAGTTTTATAATTATGCTCACCTTTGCAGATGCTGCAACGCTCAGAATTCTTACAGAATTTAGCTAAATGTCCATACCTCAAGCACCGGTAGCATTGTTTAACTGGTGGTATATATGGAGTGACATTGTGGCGCCAACCTCCAATATCCAGATATTCAGGTAATACAGATGCAGCAAAAGTAATTGTCACGGTTAGAGTTGGCTGTAACACATATCCATGAGTCAAGGTATTTTTTCTTAAAATTCTTTTAATAGCAATAATTTTCTTAGAACTCGATATCATAGTATATATTTTTTTATTAGATATATTTGTAGGTACATTTCTAATAACGCCTGTAACTTCTGTTGAAGAAGCAGGAATACTGGCCTTAAAATGGTAGTCATTTAAAAAAGTTTTATTATTTAAAAAAGCATTGGCTAAGTCTGGCTTTTGAAAGTATACTCCGATTTTGAATTTATTTATAGATCTAAGATAAGTTACCCCTTTATTAAATCGTTTTAAACAGGAGGAGAGTGAGAGCAAGTCTCTGGATCCAATGGTTTTCTGACTATCTGAGGATTCTACAAAGACAACAAATTCTGTCCCAGGGGATTCCTCGGGATATCTTCTAATATAATCTGTGACGTAGTAAGGTTTATACTTATCGGCCTTATCAATTTCAGATTCTGAGTCAGTAGAAGTATCTTCCGAATATATATCCTTGTCATTACAAGGTTCATGGTCTACATCACCTGAATCGTCATCTTTTTTTTTCCTTTTTCTACAACTGCGCTTCCCCATGAATGCTAATTATATTACTGTCGCTGAATTTAGTGAAAATATAATATTTTATTAAATAATAAGAATTGATAGAGATAGTTTTAATAAATTAATAAAAAAAATTTAAAAAACCCGCTTGTTCTTATTCGAGTTTCCCGCCTTTTTTTCTCAACGGTTACTTTTTATTTGTCAATGTCAAGATTTATTAAAATGTTGTATCAAGAAATTTTTAATTATATTACTTCAACAATTGGTGAAATTTAAATATGTAATAGTAACTTATACTTTTCTACTTAACTTACTTTCTTAGTATATTATAATTAATTTATAACTATAATAATTTTTGTAATTTGTCTTGTAATTTTATATTGTTACCTTGTAATTGTTACTTTTTGGCTGATGGCTTTCGCCAAAGTCACAATAAATAAAAAAAAAAAAGTCTATATTTTTATTATAGGTTTATGTAGGCAGAGAGAATTGAATGCGCATATCCTTGGCGGGAGTTTTCTAATTTTTAAACTAAAGTTTTGAAAAGTTTCGTTGTCAAGATAGACCAATTTAAGTATTCCCCGGAATCTGAATCACTTATACATTAACATTGTATTTTATCTAATGTAATGCTAATTTTTATTTGTTCTACATTATAAACAGTTCAAATAAACTTCGCATTCTGAAACAAAACATAATATTTCGTAAGCCATGTTTATGTGTTGCGGCGTATCTTGTAGTTGGTTTTCAACCAGTTTTACAATGATAATGAGTGCACGCACAGTACGCACGTGGTCTGCCAAACGGAGGTGGCATAGTGGCATATGTCACGGTGGCATCATTGTAGATTAAAAATAGCCTTAACAGTAGAGCGGTCTCGTGCGCGGCCGACGCCGATAGTAGGGTTATCGCGCCGAGGGAAGATTCCATGGCAAACAAGTTTATTCTCACAAACATTAAATGACATATGAACCAATTGTTTGATATGATTATATTATCAACCTTAATTATGTACGGAGTTCTAGATATTGTGGAATGGATATAGACTTGTCTTTATTCTATGTGAGTGACTCTAGTTTTTATGTAAGTAGTCGAGATTTTTACCCGTTGTTACGTCACTTGCCTAGTGTCTGTGAAGGACAAAAAGATGGTAGGTATATAGAGCAAAGTTTATTTTTTGTTTTTAAATTACAGTCGATTTATAGGGTTGATACAAAGATAAAAAAGCTATTGTCGATGTCATTTTATTACATTAAGCTGGCTTATAATCTTGGTACGATATTGATCTACTACTATTAACTGTATTACTAGTCACATTTCAATTGTTTCTGAAATTTGACAGATAATTGTGACATTACTACATTTCGTTATGAACACCCTTAACTATTAGGTGTCATATCTATCAAGACCGCAAGTAATCGCCTTAATCAATGATTTTACCATGTTTAGTTTCTTGTAATCTACATACGTGGATTATATATAAAATAGCACAATTATATTACAAAAATTACTTGAACTTGAATTTCAATAAAAAAATATTTTATAATTATTGTTTACCTATGTGTAAACTACGATATCCAACATATTTGATACTTTTTGTTATAACTGTCAAATGCTCAATTGTTTCTATGTCACCTATTGATCCCTTATCGTTGCCGAGCCGTTTTTAGTACCATGTTTATTTATCGATTTATTACTGTTGCTAGTTAAACAAAGTTGGTAACTAACGTTGGTAGGTATTTAAAGGTAGTCATTACTGCAATTATATATACTTATTATATGTCGACCATTTTGTTGTATTGATGCCTAACAATTCCTCATGGAGGTCAGTTTTTTTAATGGAAGATAATGGAATGGTAACCTCGCCTGCGCTAACGGTATACGCTGGCTGGGCACCAATGTGGGATAAATAGGTGAGGATGAAAAGATAGGTCAGTTAGCCCATCATGATAAATTCCATAAGAATTAACCACGATGGTTTCCAGAGGAAAACATGTGGAGGTCGACCTGATAGGGTATATTGCTAGCAATGGGGCTGTTAGACCCCATTAGTAACAATCCCTTCCCCTATGGAGGTCAGTTCGCATAAAGCAATGAGGTACAAGTTCTCAGTTGAGCCAAGTTTTTCCTAACTTGACTCAACTTAGAACTTTTATACATTAATATCTACGGCTTCTGCTATTCTTGGTTGTGCTTTTCGATGGCTATTATCAGATTTTTCACTCTTTGTTGGGCTTTTTAGCTTGAGAACCAAATTTTGGCAATTATTTATACCACTTGCTATTTAGTTAATGTATTATACAAATAATTTATATCTGATTGTCATTATTTGAGCAGCTGGGTATTTATCTAAATCAGTTTTCTGGGAATATGATATCCTTGACTAGGTTATTGGACGTCCGATACGATGCAAAGCTGTTAAATATTTCTGTTTATATTAATCTATAGATATAGCCTCAGCGAAGGATAAGCAAGCTAAAGTGGCAATGGGTTGGTCACATTGCTCGAAGAATCGATAACCAATGGGGAAGAATGGTTCTTGGGTGGAGTTCCTGTACGGGCAAACGCAGTTTAGGACGACCCATCTCTAGATGGAGTGATAATTTCAAAGCGTTGCAGGGGGTCAGGTGGCTTAGGACCGTTCCATATAGCAGTCTATGTTCAGCAGTGAACAAATAATGGTTGAGATGGTGATGAAGATTATGAAGATAGTCTGAGCTCTGTGAGTGAGTAACTTGATGACCAGTTCACTGCTCCCTCAGCTTACAAATTTTTCTGCGCTATGAGAGATTTCTCCTATGAAGTATACCAACCTGAAAAGATCTGAAAGCACGACAGTTCCTTCGAACGAGTGAACAAACAAAGCATGGTTCGTATTACCATATAAGTCATTTCTCGTAACGACTTGCGATAATTTAAAGTATGTATGCATGTAAGTATTTGGAGTGTAGAAGCCTAAAATTTTAGTTAAATGTTACTTAATCTACTTGTACCGAATTACAAATTTATACTATGTATAGTTTACAAAGTTTCTTGATTCTAAAATCGATACATTCTTACAAAAATAGGTACCTACTTTTTTAAAGGTTTTTTAATTGGTGAAAATGAAATAATGACCCTGTCTGCGCTATCGGTACGCATTTACTGGATAGGTACCAGTGATGGATGATAGATGAGGATGAAGCAGGTCAATTGGCCCGCCGTGGCGAATTTATCAAGAATTAACTATGATTTCTAGGGGGAACCACGTGGAGGTCGACCTGGCAGGATATACTGCTAGTAATGAGGCTGTTAGACCCCACAACTAACAATTCTAACAAATGAGGGGTTTTTAAAAGGTTACTATTCTTTACCTTTCAAGGAGGTCAATTTGATCTACAACAGTTAAAAAGGGAGATAATGGCGTCCATTTTGAGGCGCCATTTCTCTAATTCTATTGCTAAAATTGTCTTTAGATAACTGTTTATTTATAACATTTTTCAATTTTTCACATCATTTCTATTTTGCCAAAGGTTGACTGGGAGAGAATGCTATATAGCATTAAGTTCGCCTTTTGTACATTTTTCTTAATGAGGTCAATAAAGAATAAATAAATGAAAAAAAAAATTGATAAAACAGCGAAATCTTTATTATAAGGACCAATATGAAATTTCTAATAAATTTAAGTTAAAATTATTATAAATTTAGTTCATGATGGTCTTTAAAACAGTAATTACGCGAAAATATCGAATTGAAATTATGACATAGACGTTTAGAAAAATGGCGCCATAGAATTGGCACTGTTACAATTATTAGGGTTGCAATTTTGTTATTATTTTAGAAACCGTAAAAAAATATGCCTAATTGATACCTATTTATTGTCGCTTGATTTTAAAACCACGAAAATGAATAGTCATCGTCATTTTTAACAATGTATAAAATAATATTACTAGACTAAATATAACAATATTTTTAACGTTCTAGGTAATAATTTCTTAGGTAGTCTATATATGTACTTAGTTATTTTATAGACATCGCTGTCCTCCTTTCATACCATATCTCAAATGTTACAGTGACAAAAAATAATCTAGTCAAGTACATATTAGTGCGCAAAAAATGGCGAAATCAATCTTGGCAAAGTATACCAATGAACGACTAGAATTTTCGTAGACACATTATTATGTATTAGTAATGAAAAATGGTCATGTGGTCCCGGCACAATAGCCCACACCTTCCTTTCATGTGGGTGTAGTAAGAGGTGACTAAGGGAACATAATGGTCGAGGGATAGGCAACAGCGGTCCTTTTAAAACATGTCTAAAAGCCTAACTGTGGTTGGCAATCCGCCTGCCAAGCGAATGGTGGTGGTGAATATTGAAAGTACATATTAAGTGGGTAGGTACATTTAATGTGAAAGATGTTTGGATGTTTGTTACGCAATCATGTTTAGACGTATACGGGTAGGTTCTTTCCTAAATTGTTATATAAGATACATTATATACCGATAAATATAGATAAAGCCATAAGAAACAACTAGGTAACAATAGTATTGGTATTTAACATGCGGGATGGTTTGTCTGTAATAAATTTCGTTTCGCAATAAGTTTTTTAACATCCAAAGATGACTGTTTCGATCTTTTATTTAATTATGTTAATACAATTAATGTGAGATTAGAATCATCTATTTCGATTTAAAAAAATATTATCAAATTCGGTTCAGGACCAGCGACGTTTTCGCGAAATATATGTATCTAGCCACAGTCAAAAGTTACAGACAATTTGAGCATTCAGAAGTCGTTAAAAGTTGATAGCTTATCACAAGGCATTATTATATTTATACTAATGTTATTAAAAGTTGTGAAGATTTTGGAAGTTTGTTGTCATACCATTATTTTTGAAAGCTTAAACACAGGTATGCTTTATCTTAGATTAAGGCATAGGAGATACTAGTAAATCATGAGGGCAAAGACTCTGCTATTAAGATATGTTTGAATAAAAATTATCATAATTGTTCTTTTTTTATTTCGTTAGGTAAATACATATAATAAAACTGATAAAGTAATAATTATTTCATATGTAATAATCTAGAATAGTTTGAAGATTGAATGCTGGTTACGTTTACCTTTAACTCATATTTAATGTTTTTAAATTGATAATATAGAAGT